TAATGTCAGCCTTAGAAATTTAGTAAAACCCTCAGCAATTAAAAAAAAATTTAAAAAATAACTAGGGGAGCTTGGGTTCTGGTAAAGCACCCCTGGGTTCAATCCCCAGTACTCCCCCCAGCCCCCAAAGGATATGGAGTCTATTACCCCACCTAGGCTAGCTTGGGACTTTCTTTGGCCAGCAGAATATAACAGAAGTGACAGTGTGTTGACAGTTGTCCCTGATGGCGCAACTGAACTCTCCCTCACCAGGTCTCTCCTTGTCCACCATGCTAGCCTGGACTTGTTTTCATGACAGAGTCAGAAGTCCCCCCAAAAGGACAAAGGCCCACATGAGATTGGTGGGCTTTCAGAAAAAAGAGATCTTTCTAGACAGAGACCCAGATCTATGAGCATGACGGGTCTCTTTAGTTAGACGAACAAAACCTCCAGTATATGCTTGTATCAGCTCAACTCGAACAAAAACAGAATCAGTTTAAATGTCACCAGATTCTATATGATGTGCCCACAATTGATTTACGGTGAGACTGCTTAACCAGGAGGAAATATTCTGAGCCCCAAATATCAAATGATTGACATAGATTTGATTTTCACAAAAGTTTGCCTGGGAACCTGTGCTTTTCTTCCCAGGAAAATCTTATATATAATGAGAGAGTCCACCCCTGGGTGTGTTACTGATCTTCTCCTCTGAGAGCCAGTAGCACCCTGCTTTAGGGGATGCATGCTTTTGCTTTGCTGTCCTTTAATAAGTCTTTGCTTGTGGCTTTCTTGTTTGCTCTTTTCTTTTTTTTTTTTTTTTTTTTTTTTTTTTTTGTACTAGGGATTGGACCCAGGGGCACTTAACCAAGAGCCACATCCTCAGGCCTTTTTATTTTTTATTTTGAGACAGTCTCACTAAGTTGCTGAGGCTAGCCTTGAACTTGCCATCCTCCTGCCTCAGTCTCCTGAGTCTCTGGGATTACAGGGTGCATCACTGTGCCCAGCTTTGTGCTTTGTTTCAACACAAAATTTTTTTCAGCAGCATAAATCAAGAACATGCCCAGTTGGAGTTGAGATCCTGTGCCACTTGGAGGGACTGCCTTGGACTCCTGTTGTGACAGAAAGCAAGCAGAATATGCCACCTGAAAGTGGCTCTTTTACATAAAAATTAATTCTAAGCTGAAGGCACCTAAAAAGCAGCAAGTACAGCAAAAAAAGCTTCCTTTGCCCTCCGCCTTTGCTGCTGGTAGGCAGGATATAAATTCTTTTGAGGAGACAACTATAAACTCTTATCAACCCAGAGTTGGCAACAGCACAATCTACAAACAAATCTACCCTATCCGTTATGTCTTGTAAATTTATCTTCCTTGCTTCACTGCCCTGGGAAGCCTAAAACTGTTTTCCTTTGTCTTGTCATTTCTCTACAAATGTATTGTTCATTTTGAAGCTGCCATATGAGCTGAAGTTTGAAGCCACTGCTTTGAGTTATTTTTCTTTCTCTGATATGATTTATGAATTCATTCATTAGTGAGCTGGGTTTTTTCTTAATCTTTCTTTTTTATGTGTTTTTTAGTTGTAGATGGCCACAATACCTTTATTTTATTTATTTATTTTTATGTGGTGCTGAGAATTGAATCCAGTGCCTCACACATGCAAGACAAGCACTCTACCACTGAGCCCCAGCCCCAGCCCCTCTTGTTAATTTTTCTTTTTGTTAAAGAGCCCCAGCTAAAAAACCTATGATGGATAAAGGTACCGTTTTGCCTTCCGTACAAGGCCGAAGCTGAAACTGGTGCACCATTTCCTAGGCTACATTCTGCTGGCCAAAATGAATCACAGGACCAGCCCAGATTTAGAGGCCAGGAAAGGAGGCTGAGGCAGGAAGATAGCAAGTTCAAGGCCAGCCTTATCAAGAACTAGCAAGGTCCTAAGCAATCTTAGGGAGATCCTGTCTCAAAACAAAAAGGGCTGGGGAGGTGGCTCAGTGGTTCAATCCCTGATATCTGATTTTTTAAAAAAGAAGAAGAAGAAAGAAAAAACAGTCATTTCTAAGTCAACCCAGAGGGCTTTGTTCATCACAGACTTCAGTTACAGGGCTTTCGTGTGTGTGTGTGTGTGTGTGTGTGTGTGTGTGTGTGTGTGTTATGCTCAGAGGCCAGGATGACATTGGCATTCTACAAGTTTCATTTGCTCCTGCTTGGGTCACAGATTCTGTTGATGGCTGCAATTAGTGGCCTCTGTGTGTTCCACATGCTTTGCTGTATGACTCATCCATTCTTCTCTGTCCCCCAAGGTATTCTTGTAGAAGCAAGGCATATTTACCCAGTAACACAAGAATCTGTGTCCCCGGGATCCCAAACCAAACTTAGGCTTTATGGTTCCCCCTTGGGCACTTCCCTCTCCTTTGTCCTGAGTCTGATCTAGGTTCACCCTGAGGCTGGTCTTGAGTGCCTGCTGTGCAGAGAGCCCTGGGCCTTTATCAAACTTGTCCAGAGTTCAGGAGAAGACACAGAGCTACTGGAGCCTCTCACAGAGATCAGGGCTCACCTGAGCCTTACCTGCAGTGCTCCACGTACAGGGAGCCAACTGGGAGCAACTGGGAGCCAGTCATCTCTGTCCTGGCACCTTGGGAGTCAGAAAAGAATGGATGATCACATGGCAAAGTGCGTGGAACAGCATAGGCCATTAATTGTGACCATCAACAGAATCTGTGACCTGAGCAGGAACAAATGAAATTTGTCAGATGCCAAGTCAGACTGGGTTCTAAGCTCCCCACCAAAGCTTCGTGAACTCCACTAGAGATCAGTGTCTCCCCGTTCTTAGCCTCTGGCATCGTCAACTTCTTGCTCATCCTTCTTTGCCTTAACATTCCACAGTAACTGGGACTGTCTGCTCCTAGGCTGATTCCTCCTCTTGACACTGGACTCCTTATAGGGAAGGGCCAGCAGGTTGCTTTTGTCTTCAGTGGTCAGCAGAGTGGGAAGGTAGTTTGGGTATGGACATACCGGCAGGAAAGGGGCCAGAAGCAGGGTCCCCGATGCCCCAGCCAACTGTCTACCATACCTCTTGACATTCTGGTCCTTGAGATTTTTGTAACCAAATGCCAGGATGACTCCCTGACCTCCAGTGATCTGTGGCAGGGGCAAATGATCTGGCTTTCTGAGCCTGTGGTGAGGTTCTTTGGAATGAAGGTCCACCTTCATTCTTAATGTGGTTTCCTTGTTAGGACTATTAGCACTGAAGTCAAAGAGATGAGTTTGAATGCCAGCCCATATGCTAAGCAATTCAAATCCTGCTAGCGTTTGAATTGTGTCTCCCCCAAATATTTGGGTTGAAATCGTCACTCCTAAAGTGGGCATTAGGAGGAGGGGACTTCAGGAGGTGATTAGAGGGACCAAGATTATGAAGCCCTCATGATTTGGCTAAGAATCACTTTGGGTGACTGGTGGCAAGCATCAGTTTACAGGCCAGCTGTATGGATTGAACGAGGGGTGCTCTGCTCCTGAGGGTCTTCCCCAGGCCTTTTTATTTTGAGGCAGGCCCCAGAGAGCTGCCCTGACCCTCCCACTTGGTGAGGACAGAGCTAGAAGGCACCACCTATGAGGAAGTGGGGCCTCAGCAGACCCTGCCAGCACCTTGATCTTGGACTTCCATCCTCCAGAACTGTGACAAATTTATTTCTGCTGTTTATAAGTTACCCAACTTCAGGTAGTTTATCATAGCTGCCCAAATAGACTAAGACATTTTGTAAGTTATAGAATCCCCATTAATCTGGGGTCTTAAATGCCTTCCCACACTATTGTCAACAGCAGCAGATCCAGGCTTTATGTGACCTGACGCTTCTAGAACTGGAAGGGTCCTGAGGTATCAGCTTTGACGTCAATATCTCTGCTCTCTCCAAATAAAGAAGCAAAAAATGTCAGCTCCTCTTTGCCCCACCAATCTAAGGTTACATCTAAGATGACAATCAGGAGTCAGGGACCCCCAGAATTCCTTCTGGTGACTGACAGCAACAATGATTCGTGGCAACCATCAGAGATTCCAGACCAACTGTGTGCTTCAGTGTGATGTGTGTGGTACGGGGTTTGAACCCAGGAGAACTCTGAAATTGACCCACATTTCCAGCCCCTTTTATTTTTTTATATTGAGATGAGGTCTTGATAAGTTGCTGAGGCTCACCTGGAACTTGCAATCCAACTGCCTTAGGCTTCCCAGTACCTGGGATAACAGGTGTATGCCAGCACGTACTGGAGCCCCAGTGTGATTTAGTGTTTTGTGTGAACTCAAATCTGTTTCCTTGTTCCTAGAGGTTCTGTGAACTTTTTTTTTTCCCTTTAAGCATTTACAGAGCACTTATTGCCTCCTATTTCCTGAGCTCAGTACTAAGTCTTCTGCATACCTAGTATCCTTTTAATAAGCCTTTAGCTGCCAGAGTTACGTGTTGTGGCTTAAAGGCAGGAATCTTAATCTTTCCTCCTCTAGGGCTTGACCTGGAAAGACCAAGGGAAGATAGAATCACCCCCAGAGCCTTTCTGCCTTCCAAGCTCCTGGCAAGCCCTATTAGTTACATTCACCCCATGAGCTGCCGCACCTGCCTTCCAGGCACGGATTCTGCTGCCAACCTCTTACTCTGCCATCCACTTTACCTGGCTTGCTGCCCAGGCCTCCCCAGCCATCTCCCCACTCCTTTCCTCCTCACTGCCTCCCCCCAGGCTTATCCAAATTTCTCTCTGGCCCAGAATTCGACACCTCTTATATACCACAGTTGTGTCTCTGGCGGTGACACTGCTTGCTTTTTCCTAAAGAAAATAAAACGGGGAGAAGATCCACCCTTCTGATAGGAGACAGGTCTGTGCAAGCCTGATTCATAGCTTTTTTCCCTACTGCAGTTCCAGAGCAAAATCCCCCTCCCTGCTTCCTCCTCTTTTCTCACCAGAGATGACCTTGGACAAGTCCCTTTACTTCATGGGCTTCACTTCATGGGCTGCAAACTCTAATCTGTTATCACACAGGTTAATTATCGTTTATTTTCATAAGTTGGATCTCTCCTCTCAGGGCAAATCAAAGGTTCATCGTACCTGAGCAGGGTGATGGGGAGGGGTGTGGGCTCCTGGGAGATGGGGCAGACAGACACTGATGGAAGACCACAAGACCGAGGCATCTTCTCTGATTTCTCACTAAAGATACAGGTGACTATAACCTGTGGCTCTAATGAAGTATGGCGCAGAGGGCGTGGGGGAACGGAGTCCAGGGTGCATATGGGGGAGGCAGCACGAGATGATGTACAAACTTCAGGAGCCAGCTCACTGCTGTGCCCCTCCACTCCCAGCCAGAGCTAGACGTCCTTCTCAACTACTGCGTCCCAAGGGAGGAAAGAATCAAGGGGAAAGAAAATGCTTTAGTAGTGCCCAAGGGAAGTGGGATGAGAGTTTTGCTTTCCGTGGAGAGCATACGTGTAGGGAAACCAGCTCCTGAAGAGGGCGCAAAGGAAAGAAAGCTGAGAATCGGGGAGAAAGACTTGGTCCTTTCCTAGTACAGGGGAGAATCCTGGACTCTCCCTGCTTCTCTGGTGGCTGACTCTACTTTCCCATGCGCCTGTCCACTTCTCCTTCTTACACGCTCCTCCGGTATCCAAACTGCCGCCGCAACTAGGACCCTCCGCTAAGGCTTGGAGTGCTCATCGGTGGGCGACGCCCACCTGAAACTGCTGGGACCGCGAGGCACCACGAGGTCCAGGTTAAGGTCACGCTGCTCATCCTCAGAGTACACGGGCCGGTAGCCCAGCAGCTGCAGGGCGCCAGCGCACAGCTCCTGCACGCGCCGAATCTTGCTGAAGGGCAGCGAGTGGCGCCAGGCCTGGGAGACGTTGTGTGCATCCCTAGACGTAGTCTTGAAGGCCTCTCGGCGCGCACCGGGCCCCGACCCGTGCGTGATATTGTGAATCCAGGACTCGAGCTGCGGCGTAAGGCTCAGGCCGGTGAAGGCGTAGAGTGCGCGGATCTCGCGCAGCGGCTCCCTCGCCAGGTCCTCGAAGCGCACCAGGAGGTAGCGACCCTGCAGGAAGGGCGGCGGCTTGTGCAGAGCGGCCTCAGCTATGCGCACGTGGCTGCGACACACCTCGCTCACCACGCGCAAGCGGGGGTCGGCCTCCACCCACGTGCCGTTGGTGCCCAGCACTATGCCGTTATCGCGCGCCAACGCCTTGGCGGTCTGCTCTCGGGAGCGCAGCACCGCCCTTGGGTCGCGCACCAGGTGCACGATGCGTAGGTTGAGCGCTGGGTCGTTGAGTAGCGGGTAAAGTACCTGCAGGTTAAAAAAGCGCACCTCCTTGAGCACCACGTGGCTATAGGAGCGGCAGGCCTCCTGGGCCAGGCCGAAGGGCCGCCGCGCGCACAGTGGCTTGCACACAGCCTCACTGCTGATGGCGCCGCGACTGAAGGCGTTGCAGGCGGGGGGCGAGCACAGCGCGCGGCTCACCGCCCATTGGAAGAGGTCTGACAGGTTGCGGCGCCACGGCAGGTAGGCGTCGAACACGTCCATGTCGCACAGGAAGACAGAGCGCACCAGATCGCGAACAGCCATGTGCAGCGCTGGAGCACTGCCCTGCGACAGGGCAGCCCACACGTGCCACGCTGGCTCCATCAGGTAGAACACGTCTGGATGCTGGCTGAAGAGCTGGCCCACGAAGGATGAGCCCGAGCGCCAAGAGGACAACACCAACACGTGCACACGCTGCTTGCCGCCGGCTGGGTACCACGGCCCTTGTCGGGAGACCAGGAAGAGCAGAAGGCAGGTCTGCGCCAGCAGGAGTGCAGTCACTACAGTGCCGGAGACGCGCGGTAGCCGCATGCCTGGGCCTGCGAGAGCCGAGCGCCAAGGTTAGGGAACGTGGCACAGACGCCCCATCCCACGTCCAAACTACTGTCCAGTTGTGGGTTGGCAGTAGCCTCAAGACTGAACCACCCGACCCGACCCAACCGAACGAGGGTTCCCAAGGCTGGACTCAGTCCAGCGCTCTCCTGAGAATGTGAAATTAAAATACAAGCCATACAAGCCATGATCGAGTCTAGGCTGACAGCTAAAATCTAGTGGCATAATACTGTGGGAAATCTATTTCTCCTTCTCTATCCCTTGAAATAAATACTGTGAAATTGTTCACTTTATAAAAGGCTGATAAATGGAATATATATATATATATATATATATATATATATATATATATATATATATATGTTTTAAAACAAAATTCCTGAATTTTGTTTAAGAACTCCTCTTAGGGAAGCATTTTTTTAGGTGGCTTAACTAAAGAGCTTGATGCCATTTGGCACACCAGTGCACTAAAAGTCTCCTTCAGTTTGAATCCTGGCTCTTCCACTTTCTACCCTGTGATCTTCCACAAAACATTTAACCTCTCTGTGACTCAGCCTACCCATCTGTAAAAGGGGGATAATATTGGTACCTGGTTCTTAGGGCTTGGGGGGATGATTGGAACCAGCATGGGGAGAGGGGTCATGTAGTAACCCCTATAACTGAGGACTCAAACTTTCTAGGGTGAGTCCTAGAAAGGGTGCTTCTGTGCTGTATGATTTTTATTAACAAGCAAGTATACTGTTGTTAGTAAAAATGTACAAAGGCCTGTGGATGTGGCTCAGTGGGAGAGTGCTTGCCTGGTAGGTGGGAGGCCATGGATTTGATTCCCAGCATTGCAAAAAAAAAAAGGGGGGGGTGCGGGTAAAAATAAGTAGAATGAACAAAGAACACCAACTGTTCCCATCACCCCTGGAAGAAGTGCTAAATGTAGCCCAGGCTCCAAAATGAGAGGATCCTATGGGAGCCATGTGTGTTTTCAGAAGAGACCAGTTAAGGAGGAGGCAGGATAGAGCTAGAGAAGCAGAGGTGGAGCACAAGACGCCCCTGAAGGGCTGCTTGCCCCTTCCCTACTGGGGGTACTCACTGCTGTCCAGGGCTGCTGGGAGAGCTGCCCACGCAGATCACAAATCCATTGGAGGTGCCTCAGGCCTGAGAAAGCAGGAGGGAGACTGGATCAGAGCCCCATAGGGGAGATAGTTCCCACACAGAGAGGTCTCTAGGGGTGGGAACAAAGTTGCCCTGTCCCTAGCCTGAGCTGGGTATTTTTCCAAATGGATTTAAACAGATGGGCTCTCCTGAGAGATGGAGGAAAGAGGGTCAAATTTTAATCCAAGCCCTGCCACTCAGGAGCTGTAAAACTTGGAGCAAGTGTCTTGACTTCTCTGAGGCCCAATTTCTTTCTCTATAAATGGGGGGGGGGGGATGGCAGCATTTAACTTCTTATACTGTAAAGGTCAGTGCCACAAACACCTTTGAGGAGAGGGCTTGGTAAGTATCACACACGATCTCATGTTACTATTACTATTCTAGTATTGAGTTGAGTTTCGTCCACTGAAGAAGCCCTTCTCCATGGGAAGCCTCCAAGTTTATGAGACCCCCTAAGATACCTATTCCTTGAATCCCAGCATCTCTCAGGCCCACTTCTAACAACCACTTACCCCTGGTCCCGTTAGTAGATCTTTACACTATCCAATTTGTCCTACAGGTGAAACACTAGGCCCAGCTCACATACCCCAAGGTCCCAGAGTTTCCTGCTCTGTGCACCTATTGTTCCTGCAGTTATCTCCAGGCTTGGAGATAACATTGGAAGGGAAGGCCTGGAAATCTCCTCATCACTTTTGTAGTGTCTGCTTCTCACCAAACCATATCACCACCAAGAGAAACTGGACTTTAAACTGTGTGTGGGTCCCATCTCTGCTCCTTCTCTTCATCAGGAGGCCCCAGGAATGGGTAGAGGACACTCAACAGCTCTGTTATCTGATGAACCCAGAGCTGGAAAACCTGGCAGACAGGGGGAGTGGCCACCCATCTGCTCTGCACCCATTACCAACACTCCTGGGCTGCTGGCTGATGGATGGCAGGCTCCCCTGAGATTAGTACCAGAAAGGAAGGGAACTCATATTTGCCAACAAGTACTTTACAGCTCCCTGACTTAACTGACAGACCCTAAGGCAGGCATTATGATTTCAGTTTTTAGTTGAAGGACTCAAGGAATCTGATTGTAAGCTCTTGCACTTCTGATCACCGGCTGAGGGCATCTCCCACTCCTAATCACTCTCCCCAGCCCACTCCTAATCACTCTCCCCAGATTTCGGGATCTTTAAGCTTTGGCCCAAACAAAAGACAGTTGCCCTGACTGCCCCAGCCTTACTCCCAGCACAGGAGGACCTCAGCCTCAGGCCAAGGTGTTTGTTACCTGTGTTCTGGGAAAGCCAGAAATCTTCTTAAGTGACTCATCATGCACTACAGGAACTGTTTGCTATCTGATCCTATTACAGGAACTCATAAGAATTAAGAAGAAGATTGAAATGTTCTATGCTACCTGGGGTATCCAGAGAAGCCTAGGTCCTGGCTGAGAATTTTCTGATAAGGAGCCTGTGTTTTGCAAGCCAGCCAATTGCTCAAGGGTTCCAAGTTAGGAAGAGCATGTCAGTAAGGCATTGTGCTATGTACTTTCACCTCAGTGATTGAATTTTTTCCTCCTTGCATTCCTAGGAGGTCAGTGGGACTCAGAGACAAGAATGCCCAGTCAGCTAGGGTCAGGGCTGAGGGTGTAGCTCAGTGGTAGACTGCTTGCCTGCTTGAGCATGCAACACACACACACACACACACGCACACACACGCACACACACAGGACAAGGACCAGACTCCCAGTGTTAGGCTTGGGGATGGGAGAAAGAAGAAGACAATCTAATCAGGAGCAACCTACAGAGTGGTCTTTTTCAAGTTGCTGAAACTTTTTCTGTTATAAAATCTTTTTAAAATTCTACTTTTGTCAAAATAATACATATGGCTTGAATAAATATAAAATTCTCCTGGAAATTTATACAAGAAAATGATGTTAGTTTATCTTGGGAGGGGAATAAAACAGCATAGACATTTTATGATCAATTCTTTTTTTTTTTTGCACCTTTTGAATTTTGACCCATAGGAACATATTATCTATTTAAAAATAACTAAACACATTTTTAAATAACTAGTTTTAAAAAATCAAATAATTATCACAAGTCATTTTCTGGCTCCAAAATTCTATTTCCAAGAGGCAATTCCTTTCAAAACTTTTAGCTGTTTCTTCTTCTAATTACCTTCCTATTTCTAAAAAACAAGAAAGCTTAAATTATTACTGTTGCAATTTTTCTAATGACTTTCTAGTGATATGTCTCCAACACACACACACATACACACACACACATACACGTATATACACAATTTTCTTCTCTTAGAAATCTCTTATTAATATAAGTCTAACTAAATCAATATTCAAAATTTATATTATGTGCTTTTATAAAACAATTCACATATATACTAAGAGTACATTACCTGTCTTGTAATGAAATTTTTATTGCCATGGAGTTAGATTGCCTTAGATAATATTAAAATTGTAATAAAAGGCTTTGTTTTTTGTAGAGCTAAATTGCCTGGTATATTAAAATGATTTATAGAATGGATGAAAGATAAAATTGAGGAAATAACAAAAATAATAAATCATAGATAAAAGAGGGAAAAGAAAAGAAAGCAAGATGCTCAGTGGAGGAAGTCCAATACAGTGAGAGTCTCTACCCTGGTGGAGCTGATAACCTAGCTGGGGACATTAAAGACACACTATGTGATGGCAAAAGACCAGATGGTGGCCCAGACATCTAGCCATGGGAGACTCACGGTAGTCTTGGTATGCATATTTCTCTCTTGGATTCTAGAAAAATCTCCTAACTGACCTCTCTCCAGTCCATCTTGCATGGTGCTAAACCACATTCCTGATTGTTTATTTCTACCCAGTTTTCCTATTTCACTTCCCAGAATTCCCATCCAGTACCCTTTGCCTCAGATGACCAGGAATCATTACTGTTCTTCAAATGACTCACACCAGGAGTCACTGGCTTCCTATGAGGGTGCCTCTTGTGTGCCTCTTGTAATGCATGCACTACTCTGCCATCCATTACCCTTCTTGCCTGCAAGCAACTTGAGGGTTGGGATTGTGGTTTTTTTGCAAGTGAGTGTCTGACCTCAGGTATCCAGTGTGAGGCTCAGCCCGGCATAGATACAGCAGATATGATTGGGTCAACTCAATACCTGCTCCCTCTTCCAAAGCCAGCCTCTAGATTGACCCATCACACACCCACTCAAAGTGCTTGTGGTTTGGATGAAGCTGACCCTGGTTGCTAAGGGTCATGTGTCCCAAGATGTGCTCATCTGTTTATACCACACACTGACTCCCTCTAACCCCCACCCCACATAAGAACTATTGGTTTAGGAATAGGATACCTGTTAAACTACAATCCAAGGATTTTTTTGTGATCTGAAGGGAAAAGGGAAACTGGGTATAAAGCTAACACAGAAGAGAACTGAGCAGAGAATGAATGAGAGTTTGCAAGCAAGCTGAGAGCAAAATCTTTACATCTAGAACTGTCTTTGCCAAATTCACTCATGGACTTCTCAGTTGGGGAAAGTATTCCAGTTTTGCTTCAACCAATGTGAGTTGAGTTTCTGCCACAACCAAGAGTTCTGCTTAGATGGTGGATGCCCTGGGTGAGTGAGTCAGGTAGAACTGGAGGGGAACGTGGGCAGAACTTCTGGGCATGCATCATGCTGTGTTCTCAGTGAGGGTGCTGATTATATGGGTGTGTTCAATCTGTGAAATTTCATCACACTGTACCTCTATGATCTGGGTTCTTTGCTGCTATGTTACACCTCAATAAAAAGTTAATAATCCAGACTGAATAAGACAGTAAGTATCATGACTGGAAATATGCTAAAGACTAAGTAGATGATATTAGCAAATATTTGCTGAATTGAAATTAGATATCCCATCATCAGATCCAAAGACAATAATGAATTCCCCGCTTGGCCCACATTTCTTTCTATTTAGTTCCTTATAGTATCTTTTTTTTTTTTCTTTTTTGCAATTTCAGAGGTTGAAACCAGGGCCCTGCATATCCTAGGCAAACACTTCTAACACTGAGCTGCATTCTTGATCCTTTTTAAAATTTTTATTTTGAGATAGGGTCTTGATAAGTTGTTGAGGCTGGCCTCAAACTTGCAATGGCTCCTGTCTCACTTCCACAGTAGCTGGGGTTACAGGTGCATATCGTTTGTGCTCAGTGAAGTTACAGTATCTTCTAAACATCCCTCACCATTTCTTGGCCTGAGAGAAACAGGAAGGAGCTACCGTTCTTCCTGGTTTGTGGATGGGAAAACCAATCTACAGGGGAAGGAATGGTTTGCCACAATAGATGTGCGGCTGGAGCCCAGGAAACCTGGCTCTCTGGGCAATACTCACTTTTGGCCAAACTCTGCCCGCCTTGACTCAGCGGATCCTCTTGTCACCAGCCTGTCCCAGCCCTGGCATGGAATCCAAGAGAGTGAAATGTAATACTAGGTACAAATCCCGGGCTCAGATTTCTTTTTGTTTGGTGTCAGCTGAAGGCCATCCCTGTTCAGGAGCCCTAAGGCTAGAGAAAGTAGATTCCGGATGAGGAATCAGTAAACTCTAGGCATCAAGGACCTCCTGCAAAGTAAAAACCACTCTATGGAGCCCAATGCATTTGTCAGGGAGAAGGAGGAAAAGAGGAGGGGAAGGGAAAGGGAAAAAAGAAATATGAAGGCAGGGAGGGAAGCAAGAGGGAAGATGGGGGTTCACAGTGGGTAAGAAAAGAGCACAGTAAGAACTGTCAGCTGAGGGGTTCCTGTATGCCAAGGCCTTCCCACCCAATTTCTGATTTGATTGTCACAGCAACTCTAACAACAAGATGATCTTCTCTAGCTTATAGGTGAGGAAGCAGGTTTAGAAAGACTAAAAGACTTGCCTAAAGGATCTAAACAGTAGCTGAGTCAGAAATTAAAGCCTAATAGTGGACATTTAGAGGCCTTTACTGCGTAGCATCAAATGGAAAATGCACAAGTAATAAAACTTACATACAAATATAATCATACTGAAGGATACCAACTGTGTTACAAAACATATATATCAAAGGACACCCAGAGATGGGAGAAGATAACTCCAAATAATATAATTGGAAAGGGACCTGTAACCGGATTATATAAAAAAAATCTTACAATTCAATAACAAAGGGACAAGTAACCTGATTTAAAAGGGGGCAAAGGAAGCCAAGCATGGTGGCACATGCCTGGAATGCCAGCAACTTGAGAGGCTGAGGCAGGATGGCAAGTTTGATGCCAACCTTAGAAATTTAATGAGACCCTGTTTTAAAAATAAAATTGCTGGAGATGTAGCTTACTGGTAGAGCACTCCCCTGGATTCAATCCCAAGTACTAGGAAAAAAGTATGGGGGGGGGAGTCAGAGAAGATATTTCTCCAAAGAAGACATACAAATGGCCAATAAGTACATGAAAAGATGATCAAGGTTTCTAGTTTGGGGAAAATAAGAATCAAAACCATAATGATATATTGCTTCCCATGCACCAGGACAAGATGGCCACAGTAAAGAGAGGAGCTGGGGGAGGGTAGCTCAGGGGCAGAGCATTTGCCTAGCATGTACCAGGCTCTGGGTTCAATCCTCAGTAGATAAAAAGAGCGGAAGAGAGAGGAAGAGAGGGAGAAGGAGAGAGATGTAATAATTTTAAAAATTACTAGTGTTCATGAAAAGAAGAGAAATTGGAACGTTTATAAAGCTCTGGTGGGAATGTAAAATGAATAGTACAGCTGCCATGGAAAACAGTCTGGCAGTTCCTCAAAAGGCTAAACATAGAGGTACCAGATGATACTACAATTCCAGTCCTAGCCATCTACCCAAGGAAATTGAAAACATATGTTCACAAAAAAAAAAAAAAAAAAAAGTTGTGCGTGAGTTTGCATAGCAGCATTATTTATAAAAAGTAGAGAGTTACACCTTAATAAAGCTCTTTTGTCAGGTGCAGTGGTACACACCTGTGATCCCAGCGGCTCAGGAGGCTGAGGCAGGAAGATCACTCAAAGCCAGCTTTAGCAAAAGCAAGGCGCTAAGCAACTCAGTGAGATCCTGTCTCTAAATAAAATATAAAATAGGGCTGGGGTTTAATCCCCCGTACCAAAACCAAACAAACAAACAAAAACTCTTCCCCACTCCCCCCAGCCCCATGCTGAGAATCAGTCCCAGGGGCTCACACATGCTAGGCAAGGGTTCCACCACTGAGCCACACATCCAGCTCCATTAAATCTATTCTCTAAAAAATACACAATACTGGAGGAAGAAGGGTGAAAGGAGGCACACTGGATATTAGTGTTTATTTTTCTATGGCCAGGGTACAGGTTATTTTTCTTCTTATTAGCACATTGCTGCAGTTTTCTGATAGTCTATAATAGACGTGCATTACTTTGGTAATCATAAGTTGATTATTTTTAATTGATTAAAGGAGACATAAGTGAAATCCCCCCCCACACACACACACACGCACACTGCTCTCATGGCAAGGAGAGGTACCTTCAAATACGTCTTCCAGTTCACCTGAGTACTCAGTTGGTCAGAGAAAGCCAGGGCATAGGATGGAGAATCACCTCCTGTGTGTGCCATGAAACATGTAAAAATCCTCAAGCCTACCCTCAGTCTCAGGACGGTGGACTAGGTCAAGCTGTGCAAAAGACACACCTGTTCCCCAAGCCCTGGCCCCATCTGCTGTTCTCTAAAGTTCTGATGAGGCAACTTCGTGACAACTGACAGAAGCAGGGAGGTTGGAGTCACACAGACCAGATGCTGCTGGAGGAGACAGATCTGCCTTCAAGAATCCCTTAGGAAATGAATTCAAATTACTCAGGGGAGGGAGCCTCAAGATTCTGTGGCTTAAAGCCACCCTAGGGCATTCCGAAGCAGATGAGCAGATATAAACCCCTTTCCCTGGCTCTCAGCTTTTGGGATTCTGCTTAGGAACCATAGTTTTGTTTCTTCCTCTGTTCTCTCAACCACAGGAGCCACAGGGGACTTCTGTGACCCTGAAAAGCCTGGGGATTTCTGCCCAGTTGCTGGCAACCAATCAGCTTGTTCATCAGACACCGGCTGGAAGTCCTCAAATTCAATTCACTTCTGACACTGACTATCTGGATACGGTGTCAAATGCCATGGGTTGAGGGCTTAGTCTCTCAGACCGGGCCCTCACCCCCAGATGTCACTTGCAAGCTTCAGGTTGTTATACTGCCCAACCAGCTATGAACCAGGATTCCCATTACCCCATCCTGGGGTTCACTGGATTTCTCTGGAGAGTTCACAGAACTCAGAGAAACACACTGACTTGTTTATTACAAAAGCTCCAGATGAAGAGATGTGCAGGGTGAGATATAAGGGAAAGGGCCCCTCTTCCACGTCCTCTTCAGGTATACCACCTTCCTGGACCCTTCACACGCTCCCCTCTCTGAACCTTGTCCTTTAAGTTTGTTTGTTTTGTTTGTTTTTTTATGAAGACTTCATTGTATGTCTAATGATAATAGACTGGTCGGGCAAACCCAGCAAGGTCTGTCTGTTTAGATTCTTTTTGACCTTTCTGTGCAGCATTCCTTCTTTTAGGGCATGGGGCAGGATCCTTCTGAAATGAGAATGTCATGGTCTACTTCCAGACAAGGTAGGTCAGAGAATTTCTTCATCCCATCAGGTGAAAGGCAGGGGAAAGGGGAAGATGTGGGTCTCCATGACCTGCCTTAGGGAAAGGAAATTCTAGTTTCTATGACCTGCTCTGGGAAAGGAGTTCAGAGTCAGGAAGTGTGAATGAAAACCCCAAAAATACGTACCGTACCATCCCAGGGATCCTCAAAGTACACTAATTACAGTCGAAGGGCCCTAAATTCTAGCCCCCCCCCCATTTTTTTTTTCTCTGCAGCAATACCCACAGGATATGGGGAAGGACTGTGCAGTTATGAAAAATTCCCATGTTTTCCTCAGTACTCACAAAGCCTTCCATTACTGAGATAATTGAGAATGTTCTCTGGTTTGTTTTATTAACTCTTTATTTTAAATCATTCAGCGAGGGTCTGGGGTTGTGGCTCAGCGGTAAAGCCCTCGCCTTGCACGTGTGAGACCCTGGGTTCGATCCTCAGCAGCACATAAAAAGAAAAATAAACAAGTGAAATAAAGGTGTTGTGTCCAACTACAACTAAAAAATAAATATAAAAAAAATCATTTAGTGACTCGAGGAGGCTGAGGCTGGAGGATTGCAAGTTCAAAGCCAGCCTCAGCAACTTAGGTAGGCCTTAAGCAACTTAGCAAGACCCTGTCTCAAAAAATTAAAAAGGGCTGGGGGAGTGATACAGTGGTAGAGTGTTAAATCCCCATTGGTAGAGGGTTAAATTCCCAGTATCAAAAAAACAAAAAACAAAAAAAAAAAAAAAACATTCTTACAAGTCAATGAAAAAGGAAAAAGGGATTGTTTTGTGGAACTTGTTTGGATCCTGATCAGAACAAACCAACTGTAAGAGATAATCACAGAAATTTCAGATTTCAGTATGGACTAAGAATTGAATTAGGTGATATTGAATGCTGTTATCACTACCTGGGATATTGTTGTCCATGCATTTCTGTACCTATCTCTGCCTATGGGATTAGATAAACCGTGTTTGTCTCATTAGAGAGGGTAAATAGTGCATAGTGATTAAGATTGTAAATCCCACTTGATCATTTACTTAATCTCTGCCTGTTTTTTTTTTTTTCTTTTAAATCTATTAAGTGGAGGAAAGAGTGTAACCCATTTCATGGGCTTTATTTGAAGATTGCATTAATATTTGTAAGGAACCCAGAACAATGCTTGACCCATAGTATATTTATAAGTATTTGTTCAGGAATCTTCCAAATACTGGGTCACAACTATATTCTATGAATCTAAGGGAAAGTCTATGCATTGGAGAAATCCAAGGACAATAGCCCTACCAGATTTTGGTGGCCCTTTTGCCTAGCAACAGAAGGTGGCAACCAAGGCAGGGACTGTACAAACACACAGAAAACAAAAGACAATGGGGGATAATGGCTAGACGCCTGGCTTTGAGGCCAGACTGGGTTTAAATCTGTGTCTACCGTACATTGTGTGGTTCTGGGCCAGTTGCTCACCCTCTCTAGGTTTCAGTTCATTCCTTGGTAAAATGAGGTTATCACTGCACCTACCACACAGGCTGCAGAGAACCAAGTCACTGCTCCTTCACAGCCTACTATTCCTAGTAGCTCTGGTATTTGACCCACTGGAGGCATCTGGTCAGCCAAGCCCTTCCTGCTCTTCAGGCCTCAGTTTTCCCATCCTTAAATATGGGATTTTTTTTTTAAATGTGAATTTTGCCTAGTCTGTAATTCCAGCGACTGGGGAGGCTGAAGCTGAAGGATCACAAGGTCAAGGCCAGCCTCTGCAATTTAGTAAGACCCTGCCTCAAAATAAAATTTTAAAAAGGACTGAGGGTGTGACTCAGAGTTGGTGTGACTCAGAGGTAGAGTGCCCCACGGTTCAATCCCCCTGTCCCCACTTCTCTCTCTCTCTATCCCGTACAAACACGCACAAAGTTCATTTTGGCTTCCTTGTTTCGAGTTTAAGGGGGAAGAGAAAGGAATGTCAGCATTTCTTGGACACCTACACAGAGGCCAAGGGGGCCTCTAGGCCCAAGGCGAAGCAGCCAGAAGCCTAACGGTAGGACTCAAATTCATCTGTGTCTGGTTCCAAATTCACTCACCAAACTACTTTTTCTCGGAGCTTTTCAAAGCTGTGCTTCTTAGATAAAGGATCCCCAACAGTGATCCTGGTGTAGCTCAAGCTCCAGGGAGACGCTCTCAAATCTCACTGCAAGCGCGATGCGCTTTCCACAATGCAGACAGAATTGCCACCCTCAGATCTCCCCGTCTGCCCAGAGCCGGGCTGCAGGATCCACGAGCCTCCCCAGCTGTGCCCCTCACCCAGCCCCAAGCCCACCCGAGAGTGGAGACATCCGGCGAGGAGAGTGGGCGAGCCAACGTACCCCAAAGCTTGGCGTCTCTGGCTGATCCCGCGCAGGGAGCGGACGCCTCTCTCCTGACGCTCAGCAAAGGCTCCTACACGTCGTCCCTTCCAAGTTCCAGCCCACAGCCTGTTCCTTCTCTTCACCGGGAGAGTCTGCAGGRGCTGATTTGGTCCTCAGAGTCCCGCGACTATTAAGGGGCCCGCGGYGACACCAGGGACTGAGCTCCAAGAAGCATCGATGGGAGTCGTGGGCACCCAGGTTTTGGAGACACCTGGACACTCCAGGCGGAGCGAATCTGGAAACAAGGCAGGAGTCCAAGGGAAAAAGGGAGGCGCCGTCTCAATGCGATGTTGGGGATGCGGGTGTCCTGGGGCTGCGACACCCACGGGACACGGGCCTCCCCTCCCGGCGGGGCAGCCCCCTCCCTGGCCCAGCCCGGCGCCCCGCGCCCCGCGCCCCGCTGTACCTGTGCGGCCGCGGCGGCCCGCTGCGCTGCTCCGCGCTGCCCGCCCGGGGCGCACACAATGAGGCACTTTCAGATGTGGCTGCAGTCCCAGGCCGGCCGGCAGGAGCCAGGGCGGGAGCGAAGGAAGGAGCCAGTTGGCCCCGGGCTCCTGCGACGCTCCCCAGCCGAGACACTGGGGCCACGCCTCGGGGGAGGGGCGGTGGCCGAGGGCGGGCGCAGCTGGGTCGGGGAAAGGGAGGGCACAGGTGGGCTCGAGGGACACCGGGGCCACATCCTCGGGACGAGGATGCCAAAGGGCGCTCGCAGGGTCACCTCTCACCCCACTAATGGTTCAAAAAAGTTGTCGTCCCCTCAATCTCCAGAGGAGGGAGGCTCCCGGGAGGACAAAAGGCCCTTGTGAAGGAAATCGAATCTTAACCTTGCCCCCCCCCCCACTCCCCCATCCCCCGCTCTGGGTGGCATCCTCGCAGTGACTTGGAATCCAAACTGCTCCCCAAGTTCTCAGCCTCAGCACTAAGCCAACACCCAGACACCTTGATGCCAGGGGTACCTTCGCAGGCTCCGTGACGTAGTAGCCCAAGCGGGAAGGCCAAGAGGCCAGGTGGCTTTCAGGAATTGGGCCCCGCAGTTGACCCCGCTTCCAGTCTCCTCCCTTCCCTACTCTCGACCCCAGGCACAGGTTTGATAGCAGGTCCAGATAAATACAGGACACATTTCAACAAATAAAACATATCCTCCCTACACCCCCTCTTACAAATAACAGGGCAGAGTCCAGGTGAAGGACAGAACAATGCAAAGACTTGTAATCCCTGATCTGAAACAAGTCCCTGCTGCCGGGAGTGGGAATTAGTACCAACCCTGGCTGTGGGTTGGCGAGATGAATTATGGTCCTTAACCATGGTCATCAGCTTTTTGAATTAGTAATTCCTTTCTAGGACCTATCTTTTTTTAAAAAAATATTTATTTTTTAGTTGTAGTTGGACACAATACCTTTATTTTATTTATTTTTTATATGGTGCTGAGGATGGAACCCAGGGCCCCACACATACTAGGCCAGCGCTCTACCGCTGAGCCACAACCCAGCACCGCCCCCCCTGCCCCGCCCAGGACCTATCTTAAGGAAATAAACCAGCAAAAAGTATTCATATAGAGGTTCATAGAAAGTAGTTTTTTGGGGGGGATGTGGGGGAGTTGTGGGAAAAAACAGGAAAGAGTAGAAATATGTGTATCAGAATGCCAAATGCCAACCATGATAATTTAGAGATTCAGACAAGAGTTATTATTATTTTAAATTTAAGGTTTGTGTCATTTACAGATTTTCCCTAGTAGGCATTTAGAACTTATTTGGTCCAAAAGTTACAAAAATCTTTTTAATTGCATGAATAGAAAGAGGAGAAGATGGAGGAGGGCAGATGGGAGAAAAGAGGGAGAAGGGAAAGCAAAGGGGAGAGAGAGCTTTATTAACTTTACATGACAGAACCTTGGTGGGTCATTAGGTCCTGGAGCCTGATTCCAGCAGAAACTGATCATTTGACAAAATTAGGAATCTTTGTCTTGCCTTGACCCCAAATACTGAGTAACAATCTCAAACCCTGATTTAGCTCTGGGTTGTAGCTCAGTTGATGAAAATCCTATTTCTCACCTTTTCTTCCTCTTGCAACTCTGCAGTGTGGTCCAGGTTCAGAAGCTACCATCATATGATCTGAAAATAATTTGATATTCACCAGACACAGTTGTAATTTTCCATGCTGTGTTTTCCACAGGCCATGTGGATTCCACCAAAAACTCACATTTACTTGGGGTTGGACCAGAAGACTTTTGCCAGAGAACCAACAAAAGCTCCAAGGTCTCTGGGCAGAGCCTTGGCAGAGGAAGCCTGCCAGTGAGTAACAGAGAAGAGTGCGCAACTTCTGTACTCCCTATTCTTCCCCCTCCAAACCCGTTCCCTCTATAAAGCCACAGACAACCTTCCATTTTGAATATTTTAATTAGAAAGTTATAAAACATCATTAATTCTCCATATAAATCTCACATTAGAATAATTTAATAAAATGCAATGCTTTTCTTCAGCCATTTTTCCATATCGCATTACCTTTTTGAGATTTAAACCAGAAACCATTTTTCATTTATATCTCAAGGGAAAAATATGTAGGCATATAAATAGCTCTAAATATTTTAAAAGAAGTCAGAGAAACTAGTGTTCGGGAATTTTCCTGCCTGAATACTTCAACATAGCTGTTTCCAACAATCTCATTTTGGTCAGCCTGAAAGAAAAGATGCTTTGGAAATAAGAATTGAATCTCCAAAGTAAGTTGAGGTACACACAGAGGGGAGTTTGTTAGTGGACATGAAGCATGAGTCACAGGGGACTGTCCTTCCAGTGCTATGGCATGGTGAGGATCATAAAGCAGAAGACCTCGGACCAGACTGCATCCTTGCTCAGGATGAGACTGGGGCTGAATGGCGTCTTCCATGTACAGCAGAAGCCCACTCTCCCTGCCTGGAAGAGCTGATAGCCTATCATGCAGCTGCTGGCCAGCCTGGACAGGACTCCCTGAGCTAGCATCCTATTCCTTCCCTTGCTTCTCCTTCTGTCCTCCCCAAAGCACCCCTCTGCTGGGCACCCCGTTCCTCAGTCAAGGGGAATGTGAGTAGCTGGGCTTCCTGCTAGCCCTCCAAATAAACCCTGCGGTTGTCAGGCAGTGGGAGCCAACACCAACAACAACTCCTCTGTCACCCGCGTCCTTTCAGGAAGGGGGAGGGCTGTCAAGGAGAAGGAGTGGCAAGGGTCCAGGCTGTTGGGTGAGGGCCAGAGAGAAAGGACCTGTTGTTACAACCCTTGCGTCCCCCACTGCTGCTGGGGGGACTGAATGAAACAGCACTTCTGACTTCAGCCTGCCATTCCAGGGGCACAGACAGAGGGCAAGAGGCAGGGCAAAGAGCCAGCCTCTGTAGCGCAGGGAGAGAGGGTGATTCAGCTGAGCTGGCRACAGACGGCGTCTGTTAGGCTGAGGCAGGTGGACGGTCCCAGTGTCCTTAAGTCGCCCACCCTCCGCACAGGCTTTCGCTGCTCTTGTGCAGTGCCCTCCCCTTGCCGTTCTCCAGTTAAAGGCCTGTGTTCTAGAAATCAAAGCTCTGAATGGGAACTGTAGATACCCAGGAGTAGCAAGTGCTAGGGATTAGCATATTTATCATGAAAGCCCTGAACAGAGTAAAGAGTGGCTTACAATAGGGGGAGGAAAGCACAGGGCTTCTCAGTTCAAAAGAGGAAAAGTCTTTCCTCCACCAGAGATGGGACTCTTTCCAAGATGTCAGAACCGTGATTTTCTCCTATGGGTAAGGCTAAAAACAAAAACAAAAATGAATGATAGCCTCGGGGAACCTTCTGACCTTCCCACAAACTAGTCCCTGACAATTTTGTTGGTGCTTAAGAAAATATGGGATTTGTGTAGAGCAAGATTGGAAAGAACCGTCTTCTGTCTCTGAGGGGACAAACTCTTGTGTAAGCCTTCACGTGTCCACTGCACTGTTTTCAGAAATGTGGTAACACGGCAGTTCTCAGAAGACAACAGTGAGGTAGCCTCGGTCCTGCGGAGTCTTCAGAAAGGTCTTCTTAGGATAAGTGCTCCTTATAGACTTCTCCCGGGGGCATGGCCGTTACAGGGATTGTAGTCACCACTTGATTCTGAAACACAAATATTTTGATTCTCTTGAACACCCAGAGGAAGATGAGCAAGATGCTGACATACTGGACCCAGGCAAACTTCACCATCTCCCAGAATCCTGGCTGGTAAGTACAGAGAGTTAAGGAATTGCAGATGACATGTAAATAAAAGTTGCACTAAAGTGCAGGTCAGACAGGAAATGACAAAAATGTTTCAAGTGCCCTTAAGATAAAAGGAATAATAAAAAATTATTAAGACATGAATATGGATGATCCTGACCTAGGAGAATTGCTCAGAAAGAAATACGAACAGGAAATGAGCTTTTTTCTGTATGAGCAGTAGCAGACACGGCACAGTTACTTGAGTGGGGCTACAGCRCGGCAGCAACCCTCAATGCAAGGTGTCCCACATCTGTTCCTACTTGGGCAACCTGAGGAATCCTTCCTTTCTTTGTGGACACTGAGCCCCTGCTGGCTCTCTAATAAAAAGGATATGAAATGACTTCCACAGGGTATCGGATGACAGCATTAATCACAAATGGAGCTTCTGCGGCCCTGCCCACCAGCCAGATGGGGTTGGCGTCATTCAGGACGGTGGTAACTGCAACATAATCATCAATCATTAAGCTAGGATGGCCCTTTGGCAAAAAAGAAAAAAACTATGTATGGGGAGGCTATAAATATTCTTTGATTACTGGGATATATATATATATATATATATATATATATATATACACACACACACACACATATATATACACACACATATATATGCACACACACGTGTATTTTGTACTGGAGATTCAACTCAAGAGATATTTTTCACTTCAAAATTCAGAAATAAAAGAAGAAAGAAACTTGCCTGTGCAAAGTTACTCAGGTATTATTCAAGTACTTGTTAAAAACCTGGAAGCAGAGTCCTACTATTGCTGCATAGAATACTACATTGCTGCAGGAATACTATATTGCTAATAAAAATAAGGTCAAGTAGAACTTTGTATCAGTGTGGCAATATATTTATACTACATAGTTAAGTAAATAGGGAAGAATTTGAATCCCAAAGTGTTTCTACACTATAATAGCTATATGAAAAAGAAGAAAAAGTTGACTTGCAGGTCAATGGTTTTTAATTTTTTAAAAAAGTTCTTCTAYCCCTAGAATAATGTTACTATTGTATTGTATGAAATTAGGAATAAATATTGGAGATGGCTGGGTGTGGGGTCCATGCTGGCTGGTTGACCAACAACACTTTTGATGCCTTTAGAGAAAACCTTAGGCCACCGAGCAACCCAGCCCAGCATGCTGAGTGGAGCACCAGGATGGCCTGAGCGCCTCAACCCTGTAAGGACTGCACATGTTCTGCCTGCCACCAGCACGACAAGGCTCTGCTCCTGCAGGGGGCTGCTCATGGGGGGTGGGGTGACTTGCTCCTGTCCTCTACTTCTATCTGAAAAGTATGGACATCAAATTGTCTTTGGTTTCTTTTATTGGTGTGGCAAGGGGAACATCTCAATTAGACTTACATACACCTTAAAATAAGGAAACCCATCAAGCCAGTGGTCACTAACTTGCTGGACCACAGGAGGGGCATTGAGGTGGGAAGAGGCCAAGCTCTGAAAGTGATGAGCGGTAGCTGAATGGCTTACACCCCAGACTTACCATTCCTTTCCTGGTAGGCAGCAACAATGTGGGTTAGGTCATAGTCGTAGGCAAAAGGGCTGGTCCCATTGATCACAGACACCTGGGGCACAGCAGGAGGACCTGGAGTGAGCACTTGAGATCTCGCTCTCTTCCCTCTACCCTCCCCACCCCAGAGACCGCCTTCTTGTTCTTGGTGACCTATGCCAGTATCAATAATATTTTCTTCAAGGAGGAATAAGCTCTCTTGCAATAATTTAAGTCCATTTACTTTTCCAGTAATTCCTTTTGTGGGATTGGAAATGGTGCCAATGTCCACCTTTCACAGGTTTTAAAGCTATTTATACAACATTCCTCTATTTCAATGGGAGAAATAATTTCATTAAATTGTTTTTTTTTTTGGGGGGGGAGGGTACCAGGGATTTAACCCAGAGGGGTCTTTACCACTGAGCCATATCCCCAGATCTTTTTTATCATTTTATTTTTGAGACAGGATCTTGCTAAATTGCTGAGGCTGGATTTGAAATTTTGATCCTTCTGCCTCAGTCTTCCTAGTTGCTGGAATGTGGAATTACAGGTGTGCACCACCATGCTGGGCAATTCCTTCAATTTCTTTCCTCTCTTTTTCCCCTCCCCTCCCTTCTCCTCTCCGTACTAGGGATTGAATCCAGGGGCACRTTACCATTGAGCCACATCCCCAGCCCTTTTTAAAATTTTATTTAGAGACAGGGTCTTGCTAAATTGCTTAGGGCCTAAATTTCTGAGGCTGGCTTTGAACTCGTGATCCTCCTGCTTCAGCCTCCTGAGCCTCTGGGATAATTGCATGTGCCACTTCGCTCAGCAGTTCCTTTAATTTTTAAAAATAGACCATATCAGAAATTTAGCAATGCCTTAAGCAACTTAGTAAGATCATGTCTCAAAAAATAAAAAGTGGTAAAGTGCCTCAGGGTTCAATCCCCAGTACCAAAAACCAAACAAATGGACAAACCACATATTCAACACCTTTGTCTTTTTTTTCTCCTCTCTGATTACTCTCTTAACTTAAAAAAAAAGACTCTTAAATGTAGAGGTGGAAATAGAAAATGCAAAGGTAAGCATATAATCCTTTATAAAAGGAAATGACTTCCCGCCCTCTATTATCGCAGTTGTTGATGTAATTTGATCTTCTAAGTTCCATAGTACGTTTACAGAGTATAGTCCTCTCCCTTTGTAACTTAGGTTGATATAGCTAAAGCCACCATAAATCCCAGTTCATTGGGAACAGCTGTGGTATATGGCTGTAATCACTGATAACATCCCGCTTTCGGTTAAAAACAGCTGAACTCAATTTACATGGTTCCCCTGTGATAAAGATTAGGAATCAATGATTATCATGAGGCATGAGGTATGGACTTAGCTTCTGGCTCTGCTACTTGGAAGCTATGAGAATTGGGAGAAATTAATTAATGCCTATTAGCCCCAGTTTCCTCTTGTGCAAAATAAGAGTTCATTCATTCATTAAATACCTCTGAACTGACAATGTGCCAGGCACTGTTTAAGCGCTGGGGTGAAGGTATACAAGGTATCAGCACTTTTAACACTGAGGCAGAAAACAAACACACCAGAAACATATCTTTAGGATGTTAGASGGCAGTAGGAAAAGTCATTCTACCTGCAGAATGCTGGAGGAAGGAGGTCCACGGAGAGACTGTGCTCAGGGACCTGTGTGGATTGGTCCAGTAGGTTCTCTGCATAACTAGCAGAGGGAATGGCAAGTGCAAAAGCCCTGAGGTAGAAGCTGCTTCTTAGATTCAAAGAATAGCAAAGGCCAGCAGGGCTAGAACAGAGCAAGGGGGCAGTGACAGGACAAGTGGCTGGAAAGCTGGGAAATGACAAGTATAAGCAACCAATCTCAGGAGGTTGCTGTGATGATTAAATAGATTAAATAAAGCCGGGCATGGTGGAGCATGCCTGTARTCCCAGTGGATCAGGAGACTAARGTAGGAGGATTGCAARTTAGAGGCCAGCCTCAGCAACTTGGTGAGGCACTAAGCAACTTAACCAGACCCTGTCTCAAACCAAAAAATAAAAAAGGCTGGGAATGCAGCTCAGTGGTTAAGTGCCCTTGGGTTYATTCCCTGGTACCAACCCCCATGCCCCCCCAAAAAAAAAACATTAAATAAGATGTTGTATGTAACTTTTTTTCTCTTTCTTTTTCTTTTGAGACATTGTTGCCCAGGAGAGCTCCAATTCCTGGGCTCAAATGATCCCCTTGCCTGAGCGTCTTGAGTGCTGGAAGTAAAGGTGCAAGCCACTACMCCTGACTATAAACTTCTTAACTCAGGCCTGACAGATGTTACATATTCAATAAATGGTGGCTAGTATTATTTTTATACGTTTTACATGAAAAGCTTACACGATCATATGGAATACACTGTGTGTGTGTACCTGAAAGCAATAAGCAATTCAGTTCTTCAATAAAGTCAGCCATTTCCCCCCCCYCTCTCTTCCTGGGTATAAATCAAGGTAAACCTCCATATTCTGTAAGAATTTATGGCAAGAATTCCTCAGAAATCCTCATCTGTACCACCCACAGGGAAATGCTATTTCCAACTTTCATTTCTCTTCAAAGAATGTGATAAACATACAGGAACAAAGAAGGTGGGCGACAAGAAGCATTCTTACATTATATCGGACATCTAGGCCACKGTAGCCTAGCGGCTGCTTCTGCTGCAACCTTAGGTCTCCATTGACATACAGCTGGGACCCAGGAACAGCAAAGGAAGACTGGAGAAATGCCATGCTCTGCATCACAAAGGTTGACATCCTCTGAAATCATAAGAAGGAGAGATAATATTAATTGCCATTGTATTTGAAGGGTTGACAGTCACTGTCTACGGCTTAAGCTGAGGGTCTTCATGTATCTGGGTTAGCCACATGAGAGGCCCTGTTCCCMGAACCCTCTGAGCTATTAATAATTAATGTATATTCATATGACCCCAGTGAAAAACATTCAATTTGCTTAAGTCAAATTCCCTATAATGCTTCTGGAAAGCAGGAGGATTCCATTCTTTTAAAAGACAAAAAGGAGAGGATGGGCCTCCTTAAGGAGCAACTCACGTGCAATTGGTAGGAGAAGGTCAAGATGAGCTGCACACCAAGCACGTGCTCTGTGGGCTGCAGAGGAAGCTCCAGCTTAAAGTGTAACATGTCCATTTTCCCATCCTGGTTCCTGTCTTCTTCTCTAGACTAGAAAACCCAAAGAGGGTCAGTGGCCCTGGTCCTTAACAAGTCTCTGAAGAATCCACATCACTTCTGTACCTACACAATGACCCGCTGTTCTGCTGTACATAGGTAATTACCTCCCTCAAGGAGAGAGAGAGAAGAATAGGTGTGAATGGATCCTTACTGGGAAAGACACAATGTATACAACCCTTGACATTCGTACCTGTGCCTTTCCAGCCGATCACAGGCTGAATGGAATAACAATAAACATCTGGATAGCATCATCTCTTTTCAGTTATCTAATTTTTTTTTAAAGAGAGAGTGAGAGAGGAGAGAGGGAGAGAGAGAGAGAGAGAGAGAGAGAGAGAGAGAGAGAGAATTTTTAATATTTATTTATTTTTTTTAGTTCTCAGCGGACACTACATCTTTGTTGGTATGTGGTGCTGAGGATCGAACCCRGGCCGCACGCATGCCAGGCGAGCGCGCTACCGCTTGAGCCACATCCCCAGCCSCTCAGTTATCTAATTTTATCTTGCTTATTGGTATTTYTCAGTATTTGGTATTCTTGGTATTTTCTCTTTTCTTTTTCTTTCTGGTAACAGGGATTGAATCCTGGGGCACTTTACCACTGAGCCACATCTCCAGCCCCTTCTTATTTTTTTATTTTGGGACAGGGTCTTGCTAAATTGCTTAGGGTCTCACTAAGTTGCTGAGGCTGGCCTCAAAATTGTGGTCCTCCTGCCTCAGCCTCAGAGTTGCTGGGATTATAGGCATGTACCACTGTGCCTGGCTTCTTTTCTTTTTTAAAATAAATAAGTCTGAATTTGTATAGAAAATTTAAACAGCTCATCAGAATTGTTTGCTATAGCTTTAGAAGTCCTCCCTCCCTTTTTTTTCCTAAAGTGCTGGGGGTAGAACCCACAGTCTCATGTGTACCCCTTCTCCCACTGAGCTGTACTACCAGTCCTAAGCCAGATTTTAAAAACAGAAACAAAGAAAGAAACCCAGCACCCTCATTCTAATTACTAAGTTCCTCCAAAAAATTCAACAGAAAATCACCAAGCCCTGAATGTACAATCTCCAACCACAATTGTCTTTGCTTCGGGGTCCTGGTGAAGGCCTATCCATCTCARGACTTTTAAGCCTTGTGTATCTTTTAGTACCAATCAATAAAATGAAAAAAGGAAGCTAAGTGAAATCAGCCAGGCCCTAAAACCACAAATGTTTTCTATTATGGACAYGAAACTAAAGAAAATAGATAAAAATCTGAGGGCAAGAGAGAAATCACAGCTCATAAATCATATGTAGGCAATATTCAATGTATTAAAATATCAGTACCCAGTCTTGCCATGCAGGCTTGCCCCAYAGTGACCCTACAATAACCAGCAGAAGAGGACGATCACTGAAATGTAATCACTACTGACTCTGGTCCTCAGCACGACTCTGGATCTTGGTGCTGTAACTGGTCCCCTTCCCACCAYGTTCCCAGATGCTACCAGGGAATGTCAACATTGCCACATGCTCCTCCCTCTTTKGGTTCACTTTGCTCCCTACTATTACCATTTTTGTGAGGAAGACTTTTTTTTTTTTTTTTAATGTCTTTCAGGCTAGTAAGGCTGTTTGAGATAAAGATGTCAATTTTCAGAAACTTTCAATTATTTCTTTCTTTCCAGACAATAATGTCCATGTCCTTGACCTTATGATAGACAAAYCTACCCTCCTTCTTCCACTGGATTCTACTGTCTGGCCTGTCGCATCAGCTTCACCAGGTAGCGGGGAGATCTGTGCTACCAGGACTGATGATCGAGTACCTGAGGCAATTCTGACTTAGTAATTAAGAGTGGGCTGGAAAGAGGCTGTCTGTGTTCSTGTCCGTTTCCTTCAGCTGATATCTGGGAAGATGATGAGGGATTGACTTTCTGTAAAGAACTTTCACTTTCAGGATCTTAGGACTGGACATGAAAACAAGGAACTGTCTTCTCAATTTGAATCAATTTGAGAGAAGGCGGTGGCCAGACGCCAACACAGTGTGGGAGGAAGAGAAACTCATCTCATTTGGTCTTTTTAATAAATGTCAAGCCTAGATATCAGGCCCTCCAGGCAGAGCAAGTATTATCCCCRTTGTATAAATGAGAAATTTATACAATTTAAGCTGGGGGCACAGGTACAGCTAGTAATGGTTAAGCCTGGATTTGAGATAAGGTCTTTGACATCAAATCTGGATCCCTAACTAGGACTATGTTCAGATCCACCCTCCTAAAAAAAAAAAAAATTCAAAGAGAACTGTTGACTAGGACAAACCTTTTTGCAAAAAAGGTTACATAGAAATTTGTGTGCACATTTTCACTCCAAGTTCACAGAGGACAAAGACATGGCAGAGTACCATAATTAGTGTCTGCTTTTAAAACTGGCTCATTAGGGCTGGGGATGTGGCTCAGCGGTAGCGCGCTCGCCTTGCATGCGTGTGGCCCGGGTTCGATCCTCAGCACCACATACAAACAAAGATGTTGTGTCCGCCGAAAACTGAAAAATATTTAAAAAATTCTCTCTCTTTCAAAAAAAAAAAAACTGGCTCATTAATCTGTCAAGTACTGTTTTACAGAGATTGAACCCAGAGGCACGACATTCCCAGCCCTTTGTAGTTTTTATTTATTTTGAGCCAAGGTCTCCCTAAGTTGCTTAAGCCTCCCTAAATTGGTGAGGCTGGCTTTGAACTTACAATCCTCCTGTCTCAGCCTCCTGAGTCATTGGGATTACAGGTCTGTGCCACCAAATTCAGTTGTCAAGTACTTTCTGAAGCCCTACAACCGRCCAGGCACTGTTTCAGATGGCTGGGAATAAAATTACAACAAAATAGACAAAGTTTTCATCCCAATGGAGCCAAGATTCCCAGCAGGAAAGATAGAAAACAGATAAAAATAAACAAACATGTTAACAATACCGGGTAGTGTTAAGTACCCAAAGAAAAATAAAACAGGCTAAAATTAGAGGATGAGTGAAGGTAGACATTAACAAATTTTTACAGAAAATATTCAGGATAACCTGATTCTGTTGGTGACTTGAATGAAGAGGAATGACAAGGCACAGGAACATCTAGGGGAAGGGTGATTCAGGCTAAGGAAGGCCCTGTGCTCTAAGTGTGGGGCGAGGGGTGGTGGCTGGGAGCTGGGCAGCAAGAGTAAAGGGGAGGGCAGCAGAAGAGGAGGGTGAGTGAATGCTGCATCTCCCACAGATGACCTCTTACCCGGCTAGACTCTCACCCTCTGGGCTGCAAGAGGGGCTACCTGTCTATGCTACTGCTGGACCCATTGATGAAATCAATTCTAGTGCAGGTACCTCCAGAGTATTGAGGAAGGACCCACCAGAGGAACCCGTAAGGTGGAGGAGAGCGGTCTGTTTGCTTCTTGTCCCGGTTTGGGTCACCCCAGCAGTGGTTCTTCATTCTGGCAGGTCGCAACTGGTTGCAGCTTGTTCCCACTCCTAGAACCAGGCACATCGTGGCTCCTACTGGCAGAGACTAAACGGGAGCCAGCAGGCAAAGGACCATGTGGTTTTTCAGCATCTCAGCAGGAGCATCAGTGAGCAGAGAATCAGGGAGCAGAGCGCACACAGGAGGTGGCCTTGGAGCTACAGGTACCTCATAACGGGGCACACCCAGRGCAAATGGCTAGCTGTGACCACACCCAGGGCACACTATCTAGCTGTGACCCTTGTTCCCAGGACGTCCTGACTTGCAACAGTTTTTTTTTTTTTTTCATCAGAGTTTCTACAGAATCTGATAGTTTGTTAGAATTTTGTTTGGTTCCTACTTCATTTTTACCTTTCATTCTGAGTCAGGTTCTTTTACTAAGTGCTGATTTCATAATTTATATCAGGGTCCATTTCACCATAGACTTGTCATTACTGGGTTCCCATTTTTTTTTCTTTTTATGCTGAAAATACAGATGGGCACTGATATTTAGGTCTCTAGCAAAGTAGGACTGCTACTTCATGATTCCCATATCCATCAAATCCTTACCTCCTGTATTTGGATGAATCTAAAATACCATCAATTACTAACTGCATCATTACTTTACATAGCAGGAAAAAAGGGAAAATATTTTCAATTAAATGATAGCATAATGTTTTCTAATCACTGGAGTATTTATTTTATACTTATTGAAGGAATTTTTAGATTTATATCAGATATCACATTTATATCAGATTTCACATTTATTCACATGGAAATATAAGCAAAATAAATTGATCCAGAGATTCCTAAAACTTCTTCATAGTCTCTTTTTTGAATCACATTTTAACTTATTCAATCATATCCATACTTTTCCATGAAATCTTGTCTTCTTACCTTCAAGCATGCTGGTGATACAGCCTTTAAAGAAATAATTCATAAAGAGAACTAAAATCCATTGGTCTGGGCTCTTAAGCAGGCTTTGAAATTATGCAGCATTATCCTATTTTTTAAATGCCTCCTGAGCCTTCCCTTATCCAATCTCCGTCTTTAGGGATTAGAATAATGTTCACTACTGTCTTGGGGAGGGTGTTTTTTGTTTGTTTGTTTTTTCATGTTGCTGATTCSCTTTCTGCAAGTTTTGACAATGGTACTTTCGATGTTTGCACSTGGGTAGACAATGAGAACTGTGCCAGGCCTGCCTTCTGGTTAACAGCTAATGTCAGCTGCCCTCACAGGAAGACACACTCTGATTTCAGAGATGAGGAAAAGTCGGTGCTTAGGCACGTGGTTCTCCCAGCTCTGGCTCCAGCCCAGGATCCTCCTCTCACCTTCAGCTCCCCATTCCCCAGCTCCACACAGGCCTTCAAGAGCCAGGTCCCGGCCCATCAGGGCTCACTCTGTTTATTTCCCTCTCTTTTGAAAAACAACAAAAGCTAGACGTTCAGAGTATTAAAAACATACGGATTTTAGAGATGCTGTCCAAGGTGATCTGACTAAAGCAGAAGCATGGCTGTCTGCGACTTCTGAGGCATCTTCCAAAATTAGCAACAGCAAAGCTGTCTCCCAGCATTTTGGTCAAGCCCTTGACCTAMAAACCATCATTTCTTGGCTTCTTGGGCAGACAGTTTTCCAGACAGGTTGAAGCCAGTCTGGCTTTATGTTCAGCCTTGGAAAATTAAACAAAAAAATTTTGCTGTAATAGGATTAAGAGTATAAGATTTGATGGGCTGGGGTTGTAGCTCAGTGGTAGAGCACTTGCCTCACATGTATGAGGCACTGGGTTCAATTCTCAGCACTATATATATATATATATATATATATATATATATATATGTAAAAGGTCCATCAACAACTAAAAAAAATATTTAAAAAAAGCATAAGATTTGAATCCGAAATATGAAGTTTCCATCCAGACTCTGGTCACCTGAAAGCTTGAGCAAATGACATCACTTCTCTGAGTCTATTTCTTCATCTGTAAAATGCAGGTATGACCTCTATCTCACAGGGTTACTGTGGGGATCAACAGAGACTAGCTCTTTAACAATGAAGAGACACAATTGATTATTACTCAACATTAAAAGAGAATAAAATTATGGCATTTGCAGGTAAATGGATGGAGTTGGAGAATAAGTGAAGTAAGCCAATCCCCCAAAACTAAAGGCCAAATATTTTCTCTGATAGTGGATGCTGACCTATGACGGGGTGGGCGACAAGGGGGCATGGGAAGAATGAAAGAACTTTGGATTGGGCAAAGGGGAGGGTGGGGAGGGGTTATAGGGGTAGGAAAGATAGTGGAATGAGAATGGATATCATTACCCTAGGTACATGTATGACTGTACGAATGGTGCATCTCTATATCGTGTACAACCAGAAAATGGAAACGTCGCACTCATTTGTGTACGATGAATTGAAATCCATTCTGCTGTCATGTACAACTAAGTTGAACAAATTTAAATTTTTTTTTTTTTAATGAAGAACACACAAAAAAATGTTATAGTTAACACTAAGTGATTACTATGGGCCAAGTACTATTAAAGAACTTTGTTATGTAACGGTTAAATGCTTATCACCTGCCTGAGGCATAGTAAACCAATAATAATTTTTACTACTATGGCTTATAAGCGTATTTCTAAGCTATTGCTTGTATTTACAAATATTGAAGACATGATTCACATGCCATAAAAATCGGCCTTTTACAAAAACATTTAGCTGAATGCAATGCCACATTAATTCTCAGAGACTCCAGAGGCTTAGGAAGGAAGATTGCAAGTTCAAGGCCAACCTTAGYAGCTTAGTGTTCCCTCCCCTTCCCCACAAAAGGGCTGGGGACTTAGCTCAGTGGTAAAGCGCTCCTGGGTTCAATTTCTGATCACCAAAAATAAAATTTTAAAATAAAATAAAAAATAAAAACGTAACTCCACACATGTGCAGGCACACACCACTCCCAGTCTCTTCCCCCATGATGCCCTGCTCTGCCTTGGGACTTTGCCAGTAGGAGAAAGACTGGAGGTGATGATGTCATAATTATAGAACCCGGCCCATCCCAGAATGAAGGGGATAGGGAGACTAAGAAACTAAGAAAAAGGAGTTATGGTCTTGTGTTTTACTAACAGTGTAAAATTATCCAGTCTGAGGATAGTAGTCCTGAGCTCAATAGTAGYCCTGAGTTCAATCCCTACCACTGAAAACAAACAAGCAAACAAACAAAAGCAGTATTAAAGAGAATTAATGGTCTGGGCACCATAAAAATAAGAGGTGGTCTTGGCTTCTTAGACTTAAAATTGGAACCTGCACAGCAGAGGCAGGGGGAGACCATGGGTGGTGCTTTCCAGGGAGAAATTTCTGGTTATAGAGATAAGAGCTAACTAGCAGTTCAACTGGGGAGCCAACCAGTTGTGACGAATGAGCAAGTAAAAAGAACAAGTGAATGAAACCTAACGCTTATCCTTGTTTTAATGATTATTGTAAGTGTTCACGATTATTTCTTAGACTCAAGTATCTAGAAGTATAAGAGAGAAATACACAAATATAAAGAAAAAATTCTACCAACAATTCAAGGCACAAAATGCTATCTTTTTTTTTAAATTCCAAACAAAATAACTAGCAAGTTATTTTGTTTGGAATTAAAAAAAAAAATGCTAGGCAGGTACTCTTCCACTGAACCACAACTCCTCCCCCCCAAAAATAAAGTTTTTCACTTTTGGAAAGGAGATACATAAAAAGTTGAACACAAGAAATATGAATACTGAGTACATGATGAAAAGTCAATCTACAGCTGGGCATGGTGGCACAYGCCTGTAATCCCAGCGGCTCTGGAGGCTGAGGCAGCCTCAGCAAAAGTGAGGYGCTAAGCAACTCAGTGAGAYCCTGTCTCTAAATAAAATACAAAATAGGTGGGGATGTGGCTCAGTGCCCCTGGGTTCAATCCCCGGTCCTGTGCCCACCTCTCCTGCCTTGCACCCCCAAAAGTCAATCTACTTCCCTGCTGGCCTCCCATCTAGTCATTCTTCCTCAGAGACAGTATAATCTCAAATAAGAATAAAAATGAGCAACAGGTAATCATTAGTGAGAAGCAAATGAAAGATATGTTTCCTGCTCCTGCTCTAATCCCTGCCCACCTCCCAGGTGGGGATTGAATCCAAGGCCTTCAGAGTACGTCTGCTTTACCACTGAAATAACTCCTCGGCTCTCCAGTTCTTCTTCTTTTTTTTTTTTTTTTTTAAATATTTCTTAGTTGTTGATGTACCTTTCTTTTTTATTTATTTATATGTGGTGCCAAGGATCGAACCCAATGCATCGCACAGGCCAGACAAGCGCTCTGCCACTGAGCCACTTTCCCAGTCCTTCATTTGGTTTTTTCCCAGTCCTTCATTTGTTTTTTTCCAGTTCTTCTTTTAAATTCACTGTAAAAGACCACATCACGCCAGGCACAGTGGTGCATGCTTATAATTCCAGTGATTTGGGAGGCTGAGGCATGAGGATTGAAAGTTCAAAGCCAGCCTCAGCAATTTAGGGAGTTGATAGACAACTTAGCAAGACCCTTGCTCAAAATAAAAAATACAAAAGGCTGGGGATGTGACTCAGTGGTAAAGCATCCCTGAGTTAAATCCCAGTACTAAAAACAACAACAAACCTGATCATTTAAAGAATCAAAGAATTCAATGATTGTTACAAAAACATACAGCTTCTACAGCAAAAATTTTTTTTAATCTCATTTACCTGATTAGTGTTTTTAGAAATGTATCCCTAGGTCTTTAAATAACATTTGCATTAGCCTTGTCAGTTTCTCAGTTTTAGGAATTCTCTATTGGCCTCCCAAAGGAAAGATGATTTAGCTCCCCTCCCCTTCCACCAGCCCTGTCTGCACATATACACCTTTCACTTCCCCACAATCAAGTTAAACCCATGTTTTGGTCAGCAAATATTCAGTGTTCACATAACTAAGACTATGTAAATCCTATTCAAAACCCTGACTACTTTTTCTTCATCACATTTTATTTCCCTGCAGTTCATAATTACTTTGTTTGCTTAGATTTCTATGTACTTATGCAATTTCAACAAACACCTTCTATTTCAATTCCTCACAACTTACAATTTCAAAGTTTAAAATTTAAGCTGGTCACARTGGATGTGCACCTGTAGGCCCAGCTACTGGAAAGGCTGAGGCAGGAGGATCACTTGAGCCCAGGAGTTCAAGACCACCCTAGGCAGGATAGAGAGACCCTATCTCAGGGAAGGAAAAAAAGAAAAGGTATAAGATTTAGTCAAAATCCTGGGGCTGGAGTTGTAGTCCATTGGTAGAGTGCTTGCCTAGCATGTGTGAAACACTGGGTTTGATACTCAGCACCCATAAAAATAAATAAAATAAAGATTTTGTGTCCATCTACAACTAAAAATATTTTTTTTAAAAAAAGATTCAGTTAAAATCTTGTTCATGGAAATAGTGTCCTTACCAATTAAAAAGTTGGAGCAAATCAATATGGGCCAACAGGGAACTGGATAAATTTATTAGTTTTTCCATATCATGAAATACTTTGCAGACCTAAAAAGGGTAGGTTTATTAAAAGTATTCATACATGCACCAGACTGTCTTTAATTTGTCATTATGTATATGAGAAATTCTAATATTTGACAATGAACATATACACTTTTGTAATCAGAAAAAATAAGAATAAATAAAATAGGCTGATGGAAAAAAGTGAATTTTTTCCCCCTCACTCGAACAAGTTTGCCTTGAAGGCCAAGCATCTCAGAGATGTCAGAAGAGATCTTTTCATACTTCTAAAGGAAAATGTTTTCAGAAAGTGAATGAAAAGGGAGAGGGGACTSTAAAGAAAGCATTCGCTTATGCTAAACCAAAAGCCAAATTGTAAACAGTAAAATCAACTTCATGCCCTAAGGTTGCAGGATGGAGCAGCATCTAAAGGAAAAAGTCCAGGCGGGCGTGGCTTGGCCAGAGCACGCGGGGGAAGTTGCTTAGCCAATCAGCGCCTGGACTTCCCCGGGTCCAGTCGGCCTGAAAAGGCCTGCCTTCCGGTGCCTAGTGTTAGTTAGGATGCGCGAACGCGTCGACCCGAGGGAGTTAGCAGAACAGCTCTCGGTCTCAGGGTCCGGAACGGGCTTCCACAACCACCCTCTCATCGGGCCATGAACTCGAAAGTGACAAGGAACAGGGTTTTGGCTGGACCTAGGAACTGCCTGCAAGGCTGGCTTTCCGGGAGCCGGGATGTCTGCGAGGAGCAGAATGACAAAACAGACCCACTCTCTAGGAAATTAAACACGGCAGGCCAAAGAGCCCGAACAGCCTCCGGGGGCCAAAGTCCTTAAGAGCCAAGCTGCTGTGCCCGGGGTCGAGGCCGTTCGTCCCGATCCATCCCCTCTCCACCCAGTCCCGGGAGGGTTAGGACCAGATGGGAACCACACACCGAAACGAGCGGGACGCGCAGGTGATCCCCCTGCAGCCGGTTGAAGGCGGGGAACGTGCTCCAGGCCAGGAACYCGCCGTGCTCCGGCCCCAGCAGGGCCACGAGGAGCACCTGGTGCTGGAAGCGCACGGTCGGCTGCTCCTCGTAGCTGCTCCGCTTCAGCCAAAACCCTGAATTAAAGAGGGCGGTGAGGAGATTAGGAGGGCGGCCGGGGCCAGCAGCGAACCGCGAGCTGTTGCCGCGCACCGGCCGGGACAGTCTCACCGTGGCTCCGGTAGGCCACCAGCAGCGGCGGGATGTAGGTGAGGGCGGCGGCCAGCAGCAGGAACAACGCGGCTTTGGAGCAGAGCCCCGCGCGGTAGCCGCGCTCGGCGGGGTGAGAGAAGAGCTCGTACAGAGCCATGAGCAGCGCGTGCAGTCCCGCCGCTGGCCGGGCGCTCTTCGCGATTCCACAGGGATGACTAAGTTTGGCTTCTCCTGGTTGCCTTCGCTTTGGTCYCCACGGCAACCAGCAGCGCAGGGAAAGGAACCAATAGCAAGGAAGCGGGGCCTTAGCAGGGAGGAGCTAACGGGGGCGGTGCCCGCTGGAGACCACAGTCTCCTTAAAATCRGAGTTCAGTAGGAGGTCTCCCTTCACCCAAGTCGTAGGCATGTTCTTTGTTAACGTTTATGTAAAACAAGATGTTCATAAAAGTTTATATAAGTGCTTCATTACAGGTCATCTGTTAAGCCCCAGTTTGGTTCGTACTGAAGTCTAACAATGCACATTAATCCGGCTGCAGCCCTGAACATGGTTCTGAGCTAAGACCAAAGCCTCTGCTTCCCAAATTTCTGTTCCTTCCACTAAGTCCAAAGAAGGTTAGGACACAAATCCCCTGGCTTTTCGAGAGATAGAGGGTAGTCACTACCTAGCTATTTCTAGTATACTTTGTTACTTTGCACTCGGTACAAGTACGGCTGCTGGTTTTAGGAAAGCTATGGTCCTGCCCAAAGATAACTTTGGCTTATCATTTAATTGAATGTTCCCTACACCTAACCAAATTTTCAAACATGGCCGATTATCTTTATGACCCTTAGCCAAGTTCTCATCGCAACGTCCTGAGGTATCAAATTGCTGTGTCAAGAGATAGTGTGAGGTTATGCTTTGAAGTAGAGTCCAGTAGTGGATGCCTCTATTTTGAAGGCATATCTAGAAGTGGAGGTTAAGACCTGCACATTTTGGAAAACTATCCCAGGACCCTTACTGTAATCCAAGATGTCAACTAATGCTGTTAGCAATAAAATGCTTTTGACATCTTTTGGTCCAGTACTAATCATTCTTGCTTTAAATCTTTACTTAGGTGGCAACGTAGCTTGAAACACAGAAATTGTGCCAGGTGTGGTGGTGGTGCACGTCTGTAATCCCAGCTGCTCAGGAGGTTGAGTCAGAAAGATTCCAAGTTCAAAGCCAACCTCAGCAATTTAGTGAGATCCTAAGCAATTCAGCAAAACCTTGTCTCTAAATAAAATATTAAAAAGGGCTGGAGATGTGGCTCAGTGGTTAAATGCTGCTGAGTGTAATCCCTGGTGCCAAAAAACAACAACAAAAATGTATATGGGCTGGAATTGTAGCTCAGTGGTAGAGTGCCTGCCTAGCATGTGTGAGGCTATGAGGCACTGGGTTTGATTCTCAGCACTGCATATAAATAAAATAAAATATTTTGACAACTAAAAAATAGTTTTAAAAAACCAAACTGTTAGCTTAATTCTGTAGTATGATTCTGACATTATATTGTGTCTATACTTTTTTGTTTGTTTGTTTGGGGACAGTGGGGTTTGAACCCAGGCCCTCAAGCATGCAAAACAAGTGATACACTACTAAGCTACATTCCTAGCCTGTATCAGTTCTTTAAGGATGACTTTCATTTATTTAAATAAGCACTAAAATAAGGGTCCTTTGAAAAAGATAGATCTAATATACTGTAGATAATTTACTGCTGAGATACAGGGAAGTGACTGATAAGAAAAGAGGAACAGAGGTGTATAAAGTGCCTCAGCTCTCTGAGATGCAATGAACTTTTCAGAAGTAATTAGTAATAATGGATGCTAACAGATACTCTGCTTCCATGATTTGAAGAAGCTAGTCTTTGTGGTTTTATTTCAATTTTTTTTTCAGTACTGAGGATTGAACCCAGGGGTGTCTACCACTGAGCTACATTTCCATGCCTCTTTATTTTTTTATTATTATCTTGAGACAGGAAGAGTCTCACTAAGTTTCCAAGGCCGGGCTTTAACTTGTGATCCTCCAGCTTCAGCCTTTCAAGCTGTTGGGATTACAAGCATGCTCCATTGTGTTCAGCTGCTCTAGATTCAATTCTTTGAGAGTATTAGATTTAGAAAATGCCAAAGATCTGTGTATACTGCCATTTTTTCATATATTCATGATGGAGAACTGACTTCTCATTTTCCATTTCCATAATGCTCTTGTGTTTCATACAGTTATCTCCAAAGGAGCTCATTCTCATAAAACTACACATTTCAGTCCTATTCCTCTCCTTTAAAGAAGCTCTTAATCAGTCTTTCTAGTCAACTTAGAACTCCTGAATATTTGCTTCAAGGCTTCCAAACATTTATTTTACCTTGGTATTTATATCACTTTCCATTTTCTTCCAACCCCAGGCTTCATTTTGTTTTTATTTTTGTCTTTTATTTTTGGCATTCAGGATTGAGCCCAGRGGTGCTTTACCACTATATACATACATCCCCAGTCCTTTTTGTTTTATTTTGAGCATGTATCTCACTAAATTGCTGAGGCTGACCTCAAACTTGCAATCCTCCTGCCTCAGTCTCCTGATTTGCTGGGATTACAGGTGTGTGTGCCACCACACCTAGTCCCAGCTTTTTTTTTTTTTTTAATTTTTAGTTGTCAATGGACTTTTATTTTATTTATTTATATGTGGAGCTGAGAATCGAACCCAGKGCCTCGCACATGATAGGCAGGCACTCTGCCACTGAGACACAGCTCCAGCCCCCCAGCCTTTKCTTTTAACTGGAAAGTTTACCTTTGAAAAATGTATCCTTCTCTTTGCATCAGAAGATTCACATTCTCTGTGAAGTCCTCTCTTGCTTAGCCCCACCTGGTTTTGTGCTGGCCCTATTGTCCTAGTTATCCTTCCGAATCTATGTTCAAATGTCTCTCCAATATTTGAAACTCATTATGTGAGTTTTTACAGGTCTGTTAATGTGTCATTGCATGTCTCTATTATCCTATTTCTCCTTCTGATTCATCTCCTCAACTAACCACCTCCTCTAGGAATGCATCCAAGGACCTTAGAACAGTCAACAGCTAAATACAATGACCCAACAGCTAAATACAATGACCCAATAGATAAAGAAGATGATGGATGCATATTAAGGCAGATCATACAAGCCAATTAGAATGGTGAACTGAAAAAAGATATCAAAAAAGCACATGAGGAAAGTACATCATTGGGACATTAGGAGATAAGCCTATGAGTTGGTTAGCCGTGGATCTTTTCCCTGAGAAGTATACTTAGTGTTTACACATTGCCTGCTTGGACTAGGGCACAATGACCAGCTGTGTAAAGGGAAGCAAGGGGCCTTGAATCCAATCCTTTTTCTTTTTTGGTGGGTAGGGGTGGAGGGAGGCAGTAC